GGTCGTGATTTTATTTACGCGTTTATAGAAATGTCTCATAATAAACTCCGGTTTTTGTTAAACAAAGTTAAGAATAATAACATTATGTTGTACTGTTCGTTATGTTAGCAAATCTGTGTGGTTCTTGATACAGTTGCTAATGGATATTACGCGTATATCTAGCAAGTCGAAAACTCGGTTATCAAAATTTTTTCTTGTGATTTCCTTTCAATTCGTGGATCACAAAAAATTGTTGTCCTGTAGAAATAAACGTCTTTAAATTGTGGTCCTGTAGAAACAAACGTCTTTAAATTGTGGTCCTGTAGAAACAAACGTCTTTAAATTGTGGTCCTGTAGAAACAAACGTCTTTAAATTGTGGTCCTGTAGAAACAAACGAACAAACGTCTTTAACGTCTCAGTTTGCTGAACGTGGCTTTGAAGATATACAAATTTTCTTCAACTAATGATTATAGATGTGTGTGTTTCGGCACTGAATTCAATTGGTTGTAAGGTGTTTATTCGATGGGTTTTCTGGTCCGTTAAAAAAGTTTTATTTTACACTTTTCTGATGCATTAGGCTTGATTTCCCCAGATGTTATCTATTTAACTACTGTTTTTGTATGAACGCCAAGCTTTTGAAGCAAACAGTGTGAAACATCACAAGTTGAGTCAACACCTCAAGGGATTTTGGTGGATTTATAGATAAAATATTTTTTACCTTTAGTTTCAGATGTGTGGAAATTGTTCTTCCAGGTCGACTATGGAAGTGTTAACGACAAAAGACTAACGCTTCTACAGAAACAAAGACTATGATCATGCAGTCTTGAATAATTGCTAGCAATGGATTAGTCCTGAAGGTATTTGTAGCATTTCACACTTGTGTGCAAAATATATATAAAATCAATCGGCCATTAGCTTCTGCTGTGTGAACCTTCCTTATTTACTTTGCCCATTTATCCAGTTTTCCAACTATAGGTATAAAATGTTGAACTGGATAAAGTTCTTTTCCAGAAGATGTTTACAATATTTAAGTTTACAGCCCTCTCCCCCTCCCAGTGGCTCAGCGGTAAGTCCAAAGGCTTATAATGCTAAAAACCGGGTTTCGATCCCCGTGATGGGCACAGCACAGGTATACCATTGTGTAGCTTTGCGCTTAACACCAAACATACGTTTCCAACGTGATACGAGTTCCGCAAGATCTGTTAGTGTTTTGTTTTTTCAGTTTGTTATTCTTTTATTAACAAACAAAATTCGATACTACAAGGTAATGGTTGATATCGCTGTAAATATTATTGTTTGGTTTAAACGTTAACCACACTTTTTTTCTTTTCTTAATAGTGAATCTAACCATTGCTACGTATTTCTTTACCGTTTAAGGTTCTCCCTAAACTAACCTTCTAATTCTTGGAGTTTGAGTATTATACTAAACTTGTTCGTTCTTTAGGAGCAGAAGATGACATAGGATTACATTGCATAAACATAAGATTTTGATCTGGAAATTTTATTTGTCAACAAGATTACAATTCCGATACAGTGACGTAAATAGTCCTACCTTCCGTTACATATTTAAACTACTTCTTTTTGCTGTTTTGTCAGTAACAGATTTTTCTGCTAATACTAAGCATGTATATGTGACGATCAGAGAGGAAAGGATTTTTATATGAGAGCTATTTATGTCCTGAATTGCTTTATTTTTAAACGTTTATGAATGGCATACGATAATACAGTAGTTCTGTAGACACAGAGTCTCACGATTAGTCTCATATGAATGGTATACGATAATACAGTAGTTCTATAGATATAGAATCTCACGTTTATGAATGGTATACGATAATACAGTAGTTCTATAGATACAGAGTCTCACGTTTATGAATAGTATACAATAATACAGTAGTTCTATAGATACAGAGTCTCACATTTATGAATGGTATACGATAATACAGTAGTTCTATAGATCAGAATCTCACGTTTATGAATGGTATACGATAATACAGTAGTTCTATAGATCAGAGTCTCACGTTTATGAATGGTATACGATAATACAGTAGTTCAATAGATACAGAGTCTCACGTTTATGAATGGTATACGATAATACAGTGGTTCTATAGATACAGAGTCACGATTAGTCTCATTTAAGATTTGTTATTACAAGATTTTCAAGAACTCAACTGGAAGAAGAAGAAGAAAAATGGAAAACCAAATGAAAAATACAAAGATTTTGCAGGTTTAAAACCTTAACGGACTGCAATTACACAGGAGAAGGCCTCAGTATAGAAGCCGAAATGTTGTCTCCCTTTTTCTTCTGTTAATAGGCAACAACAGTTCTTTAAAGCTCTTATACTTATTATGTGTGTGCCTAAAATTCCAGTGAAACAACATGCCTATATGTTATTAGTAACATCTAACAATTTAAAAGTACAGTGGAGTATCCTTATGAATTTCAACGTTTGCAGTTGGTACGAGCTGTATTGTAATATTTAGTTTGAATGGAATTTAATGCATAAAACGTCACTCACACTGTCACATTAAGTTATTTTATTTGGTTGCCAATTGCAAAATATCAGAAGATAGAAGAGTTTTGTACGAGTATAATTTTATTTATTTATAATTATCGTTATTTTGCATTATTGAGCAACAACTTCCATACTGAGGATTGTAATTAATTTATGTGATGATTAAACTATTTAATTCATCGATGACAACAGTGCATTCGTGTAATGTTAGACTGTTAGTAAGTTAGAATAGCCTGACAAAGTTCCTTATAGATTGGAACCATCAACCACATTGGGCTTTTTCGGGATTGAGGAAAATATTTTGTCTTGAACTGGCATCGTCGCGTATCATTGGAAGATATCTGAAAACAATGTGGAATTATTTAGCTATGTTTACATACTCAAGAGTTTTAGTATATCGTCGCGTATCATTGGAAGATATCTGAAAACAATGTGGAATTATTTAGCTATGTTTACATACACAAGAGTTTTAGTATATCGAGTATAAGACTTAGCTATACTCCTTGGGTCGTGGGATGGAGACATAGATAAATTATTGAGAGCAGTTTCAGGATAACTACTCGGCGATGGGGACATGGGTAAAGTAACTAGGGGAGTTTCAAGATAATATCTACTTATTAGACGTATGCAGGTTATTTACGTAGAGTGTTATATATGATTTGTTTTAAATATAATAATTTCGTTAAGTACACAAAGACGGGTATGGAACTGACGGAGAACAGTATTGTCAGAACTTGTAATACTAAACAGTAATTATCAATATAGTCATTTAAGGGTAATCGCTGTGGTATTGAGATCTCATTAAGTAAAAAAGGTAATAGATAAGAAAACCTTAAGTATCGAGTGATTATTTTTTAGTTCATTTGATAACCTATTGAGGTCGCAGAAGGAAGTATATATAGATTAACAGACAGAGGTTGAGTCTGTGGTTAAAAAACACTACACGAAACATGCATTGTACAATATGTTGGTTTTGTGATGATTTTAACTTAAGGTCCATTTGTACAACTAATAATAGTGTATGTTATCTTTGAATACACAGAGGTGCATACTTAGAGTTTCTACTATCCTTCCGTAGATTTCAATACGTGATAAGTACTAAAGGCGGATTTTCTTCACCTCCTTATTTTACTTTTTTATATGTGACTCGTTAAGCCACTCGAGCTTGTCTGTCGTCTCGTGAGTGTTCAACCTGCTCCACGCTAGACACAAAAAGAACGCCATCAGAAACAGCTGTCAAACAACGACCACTTAACCCTCCTACTGCTGTCAAGGCACCCAATTTGTGTGTCCCGTTTTTCTCTTAGTTGTGGCGATACTCGTGTTAGCCGAACAGCTGGTCCGCTTGTGTGGATGTTCTATCGTTATTATAAAACCGGTATATTTATATATACACGGAGATTTGCACGTAAACATTTGTGTTGTATATAAATATACTGCCCTAGATAGAACTTTATTTAACATGATTGTGTGTACGCAGAGTTAAGTAAAACCACGCAGTCGTAAATGGTTTGTGATGTTAGTTGGAATCATGGCCAAGTAACTGGCCTGCCCGTCTCTGATCTGTGGGTTTCATGTTCGTGTCTCCTTATCTCAAAAATGTGCTCTCCACACCCTGGGGCCGTGGGTGCGTAATAAGCGTGATGGTCAAATCTTACTTTTCGGTCAGACAAGAGTAGCCAGGGTTGGTGGTGGGTGCTGTTGACTAGGTGTCTTTACTCTGTTCTATCAGTTCAATATTATAACTTTTGTGTCATAATTTTCAGACCTGCTTCTAATTAAGCATTTGTGATCGTATGTGTCTAAGATAAATTTCGAACTCAAAATGCGGAACGAGCTATGTATATTGTTTGCAGCATTTCATTATCTGACATATTCGATGTTGTACATCCTCAAGATGACCGAAAAATTCGAAACCTGTCATAAAATAAACGGGTTTTAAACTTTCATCTAAGCCGTGCTTACTGGCCTTTTTCTTAGTCACCACTTCATCGCATCACTGGATGAAATTTAATGAGTTGTATCCAAAGTAATTTTAACGTGAAATTTTCATTATTTTTTTGTGGTATTTTGATGATTAACTAAGAAGTTTATTGTATTATAATAGTGTCTTCCAGTCACGAACGTTACGTTTCGAAAAAAAAAAAAAGTATTTCCAGAATATTCTTCAGACACCCATACTCAGTGCATGTCGGAGTAAATAAAAGTATTCAAAACAAAGGATGTGTTCTCTGATCCTCACAAAAATTTTTCGCTCGCATCCTTTATCATCTGTTTGAAATCTCGGTCTATAAACTTCAAACGAATGCCATTCCTCTTCTATTAGTCTCACTGTTACTATGGCAACAAGAACACGCGAATGAGAGCTACAAGCATCCTTTTATGCTGCTATACAATTAGTGATATTTTGACAAGGCTCGTCTGCTTTCGGACCATGCTGTCACCTAGCAACGAGAACAGAAATAGAGCTCATTTCTAATTTTCTTTTTCTTTTTTCTCCTCTTCAGCTTTTCAAGTTGTGGACTACAACGTTCGTATTCTACAGACAACAGCAGTTCACCGTGCAGCCTGTTCCCCTGATCCTTGTGAAGGTAAGGACTTCTAGCTTTTATCTTGCAACCTTTCAAAAGGACTCTTTTGTTGCAATTCTTTACTCATCTCCCAGACTAAAGGCAATGTTGTTTACCTACTAGGCTCTAAATTATACTTTGTGCGCGAAAGCTCTCAAGTTCACCAATTTCACGACGTGTTTCGAAATGCTGCATTGACTTGTTTCTCTGAGCATTTTGAAGTGGAATTTGCATAAGCGACATATTTGTTGTTAAACAAGTACATGTTGTTGTACATGGGTGTTGTATAGCGTTTGAAATTTTTTTATTATATTCTTGTTACTTTTGTCATGTTGTTGTATATGGGTATTGTATAACGTTTGAATTTTTTTTATTACATTCTTGTTATTTTTGTCATTTTGTTGTACATGAGTGTTGTATAACGTTTGACATTTTTTTTATTACATTCTTGTTATTTTTGTCATTTTGTTGTACATGAGTGTTGTATAACGTTTGAAATTTTTTTAAATACAAACTTGTTACTTTTGTCAAGACACGCATCAACCTGCGTTAATAAAAGATAACACATGAAAACAGAAAAAACGAGTAGGATCAAGAAAAACATCCTACTTAATGTTGTTTATAATCATCGCACGTTTATGTACAGTGTTCAATAAATGTTGATATGTAGCTTTTAAAACGGTCACTGTTTAGCATGTAAAACAAAAAATAAAATGAAATAGTATTTTTCTTACAACCATTACAATATCATGAATCGGACAAGTTTTTACATGTGTAACGTGCTTGTTTTTAGCCGCGGCATAGCGGCTCGTAGAATGCTTCGAGTTTTTTTGTTTTTTTTCAAGTACAAATTCTGTCATCTCTTGACCGATGTGAGATCTAATTACAGTTTTGGACTCGGGTGGTCAAACCCTTTAGATTGATGTAATCATAGATTAATTTACTCTAATCCTGCTTTAAAAAATTTCAAGTGCCATGGCTATTGAGGATTCCATTTTGTTTACATTTTTGTGCTTCTGTTTGTTTGAATGATACACATTTAATACAACTTGTTTTCGAAGAGCAGGATTATTTAAGATTTTGTTATACAGTCAGTGACACTGTACATCCAGAAAATTACCTTTTTACCCTTTGTTTGTGCAAGCGCAAGCACAGATGTGCGTGCGCGTTGCCTTCTATTTATTTCATGAGTATATTTTAAGCAGTGAAATTCTGTCTTATTGTTAGCCCCATTTATTTATAAAATACTTTTGTCTGTGTGTGTATGGGGGAGGGGGTTTAAGCTCTCAAGTTCTTGTCAGTGGAGTAAATTATTCAACTAACTCGTAATTTTATGGATTGAGATGTAAGATTTTTTTTTCCGGAAATTGAGATTTGATAAACATTACAATGTTTTTATGGACCGGGTATGGCCTAAGGATTAGCGTGCCCGGACTGCAAATCCGAGGGTTCATGATTGTCTCAAAACGCTCTCTACATCTTGGGGCTATGTGCGCGTTATAAGAGTGACAGTCGAAGTCCACTATTCGGTCAGAGAAGAGTAGCCCAAAAGTTGGCAGTGATTACTATTGAATAGCGGTAAGTCTGAAGGCTTATAATGCTAAAAATTTGGTTTCGATACCCGAGAAGCACAGCATAGTTAGTCCATTATGTAGTTTTGTGTTTAGGAACAAACACAGAAGCTTCTGTGCGAAAATTCTAAAACATACTAACTAATGTTTGTTTTTGTGAAGTATTTAGACAACTATTGTTAGCTATTTATAGATGTTCCAGTCCGTACCTCGTAACAAAGGTTTCAAAACACAGTTTAACAGAAACCGCCTGATTCTGATACTTAAATAACTTGCGTCTCATAAATTAAAAAAAAAAACGGTATTATGAAAACCGTATTATGTAATAAAACTAAGTCATTGTCCATCAGAAGATGTGGATTGAATTGTCCAAGAGTTCCTATGTTCTATTAAGCTTCTTTCAGGTTGGAACGACAGCGTAATTTTATGACCTCTGCCATTGTGAGAGCATAGTTCAAAACTATAAAATCTTTATTTTCAACCTTGATATTGACACCGAAATTGTTACTAAATCAGGAAAAAATACCCCCTCCCCAATAATTAAAAAAAAGAGACTAAATTTGTACTGGGATTGTGAAGGTTTTTGCGTAATGAAAGTGGACATAGAATTTGTGTATGAGAAGAAAGGAGCAAATTTGACCAGCCGATCGTCCTCTTGTGTTTTATAAAGGACATCAAACTAATACTTCTTATTGCACATTTAATGAAGTTCTAAGCATCCATACTGGAAATACAAGAAGCTCTGTTTATTGAAACGTAAAAGCCTCGTTTAAACAAATATTCCGGAAATCTTTGTCCACATGTAATTGTATTAAGTGATGTCGTTGCTTTTCTAGATCATTTGGACACTGGCAAAACTTTTTGAACTTTGAACTATTCAAATTTTAGCCGAAGTAAAAGTATGATGATTATTGAACTTTGCGATTTTTGTATGACGTAATTAAAACAAAACAAAAAAAACATTTCAGAGTTACATATGATAAGTTATTAAACGATTTTAGACGTTTCACAAAAAATTATAATCTTATGACTATTTTTTGTCGTTTTAACAAATGTTTTCTTATTATTAACTCATTTAATTAATTACATAAAATCTGAATGCGTGATATGGATTGGAAGACCTTGTATAACTTATCTTCACCATGAAGTAATTACTGTGTAAACAACTTGGTGCTCTAAACCTTTGTTGATCAAATTCTGTTGTTATTCAGCACACTGTGTGTGAATCGATGTCTAATCAACCAGTTAATAATCGTTTCATTTTATATTAATAACTCCAGTAATAAACACTGTGTTATGGCTGTACAAACACTGTGTTATGGCTCTGAGTGTGTATGTAGGCTCAACCGTTCGTTCTGACTTTTTGTTGTTTTTTTAACCTGTGAACAGCAATATGTAATAAACTGAAACACACATCTGGGCCTCACTTACTGTTATTCAAAAGGTGTGCGTGTGTGTCTGTCTGTCTATATACATACATAGATAGAGTATTGGTTATTTTTGAATAAAGTATAACTTTTGATAAAAAAAAACAAATCAATATTTGTTCGTAGTTAGAGGTTAGTGAAGTTTTTAGTATTATCACATCCAAATACATGACAACAAAAAAGAAAAACGTGTATACGTGGATATCTGTTTTGTTCTCTGAATGCCCAAGGACACAGAAGGTTTTTTTTTTTATTTGCTTGTGGCAATTTTGATCACACTATCGAGTAACTATAACAAAAAATTTCATTCCTCAAACCAAGCAACCCTGAAGGCTGACGTTTGAACGGTTTGAGAGGATTACCATGGAGATATTGGTCCTCTTATATGGCAATAATTTGCTGTCACTTGGATAAATTGTATTGAAGTAACTACAGGAACCTTCTGAGAAGAAGATTCTTTACGAACATAAAGATATCGAAGCTAAAAAAAATGCTAAGAAATTCGTGTTTTCGTGATTAAGGTGGAATTCTTAACACTTGCCTCTATTTCCAGTCACAATATTTGTACAAAACACCAGTTATTGGAAAAACACGTTGTCGAAAATTGTTGTCAGTAATAAAAATGAAATTTTAATCAGACCTGTATTGTCGCGTGTTTTTGTTTTTTAGTAGAAATAAGAAAATTCTAAAAATTTAAGAGTGAAAGTAAAGATGAATGTAAATCTCATGGAAGTCAGTTAAAGACTTCAGATATATTTTATGTTACATTCCAAATTTTAAATAATCAAACAACAGAAAAATTAGGGTAAATTACTTCATTTTTTTATTTGGAATTTATTTTGCTTCAAATCGCCCCCCCCCCCCTCCCGTGTGTGTTTATGCGTGAGTAGAAATTGAAGCATTATTAAGTTGTTATTCGCCATTTATATATCAATGGTAAAGTGTTTCTTTCATCTTAACAGCATATACTTTTTCTATTTGAGCTTTTAGGCCTTCTTTCCGTTGGCTCAGAAACAAGTTTAATTGTTGTTGTTGCAGAAAAATATATCTTGTGACCGTATATAACATGCGGCTGTAAAAACGGAAAAAAATTCTGAATTTGAAAACCAGAACGTAGTAGATCATAAAATATTATTTGACATACCGTTTTAAACTAGAAATTTGATACACTTGAATTGCAGGTATATTTAGATGAGAAAGACTTAAGACTGAAATCAGATTCTGACTACCAGCAACCACAGATTTTAAACAATTGTATGGGCAACTTTCTACAAGTGGAATTTAAATTAAGCCATGTTGAAAATGTGGTAATTTTCGACCTTAAAAATATTAAAAGAACGGTATAAGAGGTCATTAGATACTATGTGTCAGTTGTAAAATTAGCTAGGTTGAAGATTGATAATAATCACGAATAATTGAAAATCAAAATTTATAAATGCTTAAAACACCCCCCTTTCTTGCATATACCATTATTATTTATATTTGTGTTGAGAAACAGCACTTCGATATGCTTAAAACACCTCCTTTCTTGCATATACCATCATTATTCATATTTGTGTTGAGAAACAGCATTTCGATATGCTTAAAACACATCCTTTCTTGCATATACCATCATTATTTATATTTGTGTTGAGAAACAGCACTTCGATATGCTTAAAACACCTCCTTTCTTGCATATACCATCATTATTCATATTTGTGTTGAGAAACAGCATTTCGATATATCCAACGGATGAAAATATATTTTTCTTTGTCCACAAACACCTACTTAATATGGCCTCAAAAATTACGTCCTTTTACAAAAAATGTTAATCGATTTTCTCACGTTTTACGTGTGTTGTTGAAAAACTGTCTTCATGTCAACTTCAGGTATGATCGTTTAATAATTTTATGTTTGATTCAACTTAGGTTTTTTGCATATTAGTATGTGACAGTATTACCTGCAGATAACGGACGGAAGTTGTTTTATCCTAAAATGAAAGTACAGATTGTCAGAGCCATTCAAGTGTTAAAAATCAGGCATA